CTAAAACATCTCCTTCAGTTAATAAAAAGAAAAGACGGGGAAAAAAAACATTCCTCCCACTAAAGTGGTAAAACATTTTCTGCCTGCCATATAAGGGAGCATGTTTCCATCAAACAAAGGGGCGCCAATTTTCTTAGAAGAAAATCCAAACAAATACAGACATCTAAGGTTCTTATCCCCTCTCTAAAACTATCTGAGGTTGCTGGCTACACTGGCAAGGCCTACATGCAACACCACCGGTGTACATACACACAAACAGTAGCACAGCTTTGTATAAATTTAAAATTCAAAGGGGGGCGCGGGTGGGGGGGATGAATAAAGGGGGGGGGGGGGGGGAGGGGAGAATCATCAGTCTACAGGACAACTCTGCCTCATTTGTCTTCTATTTTTACGGTGAGAGCAAGATGTTCAAAGTCCTTAGGTCGAGTCAAGAGTCCAAGAGACTACATTTGTCACTTCCTCATTGTTCTCAGCAGTGAGCAGCCCACCTGGGCTTCTATTGATACGTCCTCGTTTGATTTTTTTTTTGTCTGTGAAATTATGGAAAGTCCCCTAAGAAACCATATTTTTGTTGATTCTATTCTATTTTTACTACCTTTGATAACTGTCAAGCATTCACAGTTGTATAGATCAGTTGACCAAACATAGCCTTTTCGAACCTTCATTTTGGTAGTCATTGGGATCATTCTATTTGTTAGGATTTCGCACATTTTACTTAAGCTTTACCAGGAATATAATACACAATTCTTAAATCACCCTGAACACACAATAGTTATGGGAAAAAAAGCCTTTAAATCAAAGCATTAAAAAATTGCCATTTTCACAAAGACCATGTAATGAAAGAAATCTTTTGAATATACGATTCTGATAGCTGTCTAAAAAATTAAAGCGCATAGTAATCTGGAAACCTTCTGAAAAACCATTCTGTTGATTAATCACATGAGCCAAACATCTTTCAACTTAAAACGCAGCGATAAAACAATCTCTCTGACCTAAATGTACAAACAATATGAATTGGAAAAAGCCAAGAAAAAACGCTAGAGTAAAAACCTAAGGTAAAATCTATGAACATTCTCTCAGTAAGGCAATAACCACAATACAACTGCATAGATGAGTAACTGATGCATCTAAAACATGAGCCGAACACAGACATCTTTGTCTCCTGGGGGAGGAACAAACACAAAACCAATGGACGCATCAAATTACGCAGGCACTGACACAAAGCATAACATCATCGACAATAGAAATTGAAGTAATCACAAAAAGTGAAAAAGTTGAAGAAAATAGTTATTAAACATCTTTTGGTATATTGTAAGATAAAACAAATATGAATACGTCTGCAATAAATAGCTATGACCAAGAATCATTTCATTTAAAACAAGGCTTATAAGTACAATTGTATAAATGCAAGAATTATGCAAGAAAAAGTTTGCAATGAGTTTGTGGTTCGACTTCACTTGACATGAGAACCTCAAGAAACAACGGCAACACATGTGGTAGTGTTAAGTAACAGAGCCTCACGCAGTGCCCTGAACAAAAATAGTGTCAGATTTTTTTTTAAGAGTATGCCACGCAAATTACAGACACGCCATTAATTGACATCAAGAAGGCTTTAAAAAGAAAAGTTGGGTACTTCTCAGAGGGATTTTTCCCATCAAATGAAGTCGTAGCGACCAAAGTAAACCATCTTACTTTGAGAAATTCGCACTGTGAGCGCATCGTGTCATCAAACCGCAGGAACCCCTAACAGCAGGTGTATATGGAAGCCGGCTGACAAAATGAGTTACGAACTGTACTTCTTGCAACCGTGAATGGAGACAATCGGATAAAAACCAACACAGGGGTCAGATTTGTAGAGTTTCAACTGATGCCATTTTCTTCAAGTTTACATGTTTTTTTATCAGTTCTTACTAATAAATTGTACAAACTCAGCCTATAAATTTGATGTATCTGTGTCTGTAGGGATTAAATCCGAGAAGTAACTCATTTTATAAGCACGCCTCACATATATGGTCACTTTTAAGCACAAGTAGACAATCTCAAAAAATGCTGTTTCGAGAAAATCAAACGTAAAGTTTTTGGACCCTTGTTCAGTTTCTTTAAAAGACAAGAAGAGTTTTCTCTATAACCAATCAAATATACACACCAATGAAACCAAACTTCTCCTATAGGTAGAGCAATGCCCACTTTTGGTGTAGGTCAAGATTTCTGGAAACCCCCGAAATCTGGGTTACCCGCTTGTGTTTTAGTTTTAGTAGAGGTTTTACAGCACTCGCAACTGCATAAGGTCGTATGAGCGCCAGAAGATTAGAGGTGTTACAAGAGAGTAACAAATATAAAAAAAAAGAAGGGGAGATAAGGACGATAGATGTTTCATAGGAAAGAAGAAGCAAACCACACTAGAGCACCCGCCAACCCCAGCTTGTCCTTAAAAGCGACCACATGTGAATCATCATAAACAAGTGGACAACACCTGGAGACAAACGGCGCCAAAGACTCAAGCACAAGACGAGGGAGGTGGTAAAGGACCAGGTGGGTGACTTATTGCGGAATCATTTTGAAAGCTAAAAGTAAGCATTGCAACAGTATAACAAATGAAAGCGTCATAGTACAGATTCAAATATCAACATAATGCTTTATGGTAATGGTTCTCAAACATTTTCCTCCATCTATATTGATAGCCTTGGCAAAAACAAAACAAAAAATCTCCCCAAGTCTGAAACCTGTCTCTATCCCAACACTCTGACAGAAAAAAAAAATGACCACCTCTAACAAATATCCTGGCGCAACAGCCAAAAGAAACACTTAAAATAATCATAAGACTGACAACTCATCCTTTAAGATAATGTTGATCTCTTTAGGAGTTGCAGAAATAACAAATTTTCATCGGTATAACAATGATTCATTTCATCAGTTCTTAAAATACAAATGGATAAAAATTTGTGGAGGAAAAAATCAATCAACAGTACAAATGCCTCACGTTGAGGAGCAAAAACATACAGTGAGACAACAGTAATCTTTGGGTTGTGAACAAATAGTACATTAACTCCTTATCTCTTGAACAAATAATGTATTAACTACTTTTCTCCTGCAAGCCGCTCCCCCCCAGTGGCTCGCGGTCGGAACCTACTTCAGCGTCAAATTACTTTTTGGCAATTGCCGAAAACAGGTCTCTTTTACCGAGTTCATTCATTAGATGAAAAACTATCAAAATAGGTTCACCTGTTTTAATTTAGTGACCAGTCTAGTGACATTAACACATCACGTTTAGATTTAGTACCAAAAGACCCCCCCCTCGATAGTGGGTAACCCCCTAAGAGATAACGAGTCAACAAACTTGACCTGAGTGATGCTGCTGTCTCACATCTCACACTCCGTGAAAACTGTCGTCATTTAGGATTGCCTTGGGGAACCATAGTTCGGTTTTGGTAAGAGTTTTACAGCACTTGCAACATAATAAGGTCATATAAGTGCCAAAGATTAGAGGTGTTACAAGAGAGTAACAAATACAAAAAAAAGGAGGAGAAATCAGGACGATAGATGCTTGATAGGAAAGAAGGAGGTACCAACCACATCAGAGCACCCGCCAATAACTATACTGGTATGTGACTTGTCGTAACAGCCACATAAAAAAATAGCGCACACCATTAAAGCCTTCCAGCCCCAGCCATCTTTGTGCACTCCCTAACCCCAGTCCCAGCCAATACAGCAGTATTTCAGAAAAAAAAGACATGTACTCCAAAAAGCAATGTAGTATCTTTGTGCTGAGGTTTGGATAATAACATGTTACAGTGTTTAAAGGTAAATGAACAAATATTATGAACACTAAAATTTCATTAGGTACGCCAATTCGGTACCCCCCGAAACGGAGAATAATATGCTCTTGGGACGGTGGGAGATACAAGCGTTGCCGAAAATATATGCGAATGGGGCTGGAAGGGTTAAAACGAGAACTGTCCTTTTTCAACATTTTCAGCTAGATAAACAAGAGCGAAAACATTTTGAGTATGTCAAAAGCCGTCTTTCAATAATGCACAAAAACACTTGCCATGTATGCAGGCTTGTTTGGAGCACAGGCTCTATTTACTATATCCTGGAACTTCAAAAGCCTTCAATCCAACAAATGTCAAGGCCAAAACAGATTGAGAGGGATACAACATCCCAGCAGAAAGACAGAAATTATTCATACAAATTCACCTGATTTGGGAATAGAACTCGGGTCTCCTGCACACAACGGGGAAGTACCTAGCCACTACACCACAGACACCGGTTCTCAACCTCTGGACATTGTCGTTATTCTGTGAGTGGATGTGGTGGGGAGCGGGGAAGGGAGGGGAGGGAGGGGGGAAGTTAGGCGGAAGGGGAGGGGGGGGGGGGGGGGGGGGGGTTGGGGACAGAGGACATCACGAGGGCTGAACTTGTCTGTCATCTTCTTAACCCATCATCAATGTCACAGGGCACTGTCAACAAACAACATGTTAAAAAACAATTGCTGAAGAGAAATATAAAAACTGACATTGAAGGTCAGGGCTACAAAAGTTTGAGGTAACGAATAATGAAGTACAATGTGAGGCAGCGTGGTGGTATCAGGCTCTCGTTAAAATAATCAAAGTGAAGAAACTTGCATTTTTCCGCAGGTTTGTGAATTTTTATCAAATTTTTGTTTTTTGGCTCAACACCTTTCATGCCCATTAAAGGATTTTTCTGAAAAACGTTGATTAAAGGCACGAAAAATGTAAATTTTCAGTTACCATGGACTCTTAAGATAAGGAAATAACTAATCTTTGGAGGCCATTTTCTCACTAATTTTATCTCTGAAAATATGGGACCACCACTTCCTTCATTCGCAAATTTCTCGACTTGTATTCATGATAAATGGATAGTTTTTCATCCAAATAAAGACAAGTGAACAAGCTTTAAGATGATACCAATAACTCTACATGCCCAAAAATTGACAAGAGCCTGATTCCACCACGTGGCCTCACAAATCTTTTTTCTGATCATAGCAAATTGAGTGGGAAAAAAACAGACTTTGTATGATCCTTTGCTTCAAATCGTAACATGCACAGAAAAACTATAACTATGAAAATCTAGGAGTGCCAGACACTTTGAAAGACTTGACGATTTCTGCAAGGATGCAATGAAAACAAAAAACAAACAATTCTGGTATTGAAAAAACAAAAGTTTTTTAAATTCAAAAAGGAGCAAACTCTGCAGGAATGTAGTCTCCTTTCGCGTTGAGACTTTCTAGACGTCTTTTAATGCTGGTGAAGGAGGGCCGTTCACATGGAATCTGTAACAAACACAAACACTCAAAGGTCAATAACTGAATAACAGACAGTTGATTAATGTGTGTGTGTGTGTGTGTGTGTGTGTGTGTGTGTGTGTGTGTGTGTGTGTGTGTGTGTGTGTGAGTGTGTGTGAGTGTGTGTGTACGAGTGCATGCATGTAATAAAGAGAAAAAAAAAAGAGAGAGAGAGAAAGACAGAGAGGGTGAGAGAGAGAGAGAGAGAGAGAGAGAGAGACAGAGACAGAGAGAGAGAGAGAGAGAGAGAGAGAGAGAGAGAGAGAGAGAGAGCAAACTTGTGCATGGTTAAATGAGGATACTTATGAGTGAGAAAGTGAGAAAGTATACTTGCCTATTTGTGTATTTGTGTGAGAAAGAGAGGGTTTATACTTGTGTATTTGTGTGAGAAAGTGTGCGTGTATACTTGTGTATTTGTGTGAGAAAGTGTGCATGTATACTTGTGTATTTGTGTGAGAAAGTGTGCGTATATATACTTGTGTATTTTTGTGAGAAAGTGTGCGTGTATATTTGTGTATTTGTGTGAGAAAGTGTACATGTATACTTGTGTATTTGTGTGAGAAAGAGAGGGTATATACTTGCGTATTTGTGTGAGAAAGTGGGCGTGTATACTTGTGTATTTATGTGAGAAAGTGGGCAAGTATACTTGTGTATTTGTGTGAGAAAGAGAGGGTATATACTTGCGTATTTGTGTGAGAAAGTGGGCGTGTATACTTGTGTATTTGTGTGAGAAAGTGTGTGTGTTTACCAGTGTATTTGTGTGGGTGTATACTTGTGTATTTTGTGTGAGAAAGCGTGCGTGTATACTGGCGTATTTGTGTGAGAAAGTGGGCGTGTATACTTGTGTATTTGAGTGAGAAAGTGTGCGTGTATACTTGTGTATTTGTGTGAGAAAGCGTACATGTATACTTGTGTATTTGTGTGAGAAAGTGTCAAAGCATACTTGTGTATTTGTGTGAGAAAGAGTGGGTATATGCTTGCGTAATTTTATGAGAAAGTGTGCGTATATACTTGTGTATTTGTGTGAGAAAGCGTGCGTGTTTACTTGTGTATTTGTGAGAGAAAGTGTGTGTGTATACTTGTGTATTTGTGTGAGAAAGTGTGTGTGTATACTTGTGTATTTGTGTGAGGAAGTGTGCAAGCATACTTGTGTATTTGTGTGAGAAAGTGTGCGTGTTTACCAGTGTATTTGTGTGGGTGTATACTTGTGTATTTTGTGTGAGAAAGTGGGCGTGTATACTAGCGTATTTGTGTGAGAAAGTGGGCATGTATACTTGTGTATTTGAGTGAGAAAGTGTGCGTGTATACTTGTGTATTTGTGTGAGAAAGTGTGCGTGTATACTTGTGTATTTGTGTAAGAAAACAAGCACGAATGCACATCATTCTCAAGTGTGTATGTTTGTGAGTGTATTTAAGTTAAGCATGCCAGTCTCCTCACTCCCCAAACTGATATGAACCCACACATCAACATGTATGCATATTGCCGACCATCTGTTCAGATGTATTAACCCCAAAAATTGCGAGAAAAATCTTTTTTTCTTGCAGTTTCTTCACGTGTGGAATCTGCTGTATACAGAAGTCTACTGGATAAACACTTTGACGAAATTCAAATTTTAAATGTTGAAAAAAGCAAGAAAAGATGCATAATGTAGGTACAATTTTTTAATTTATAATTTAAGTTTTTTTTTCTCTCCTGACAAATTTGTTTCGGGGCTGAGAACATTTGTACAGCTTGCTGCTGAATTATTTCTGTTTTTAAGTAATATGAAACCAAAATGGCCGCTGGATTGGAAAAGTAGAAATATGTTGTATGTATTATGTTTTCTGTGTGCATCTGCATACAGACTCGTGGGAGTTCTTGAACAGACACAGCAACAGGACTACCGGACTGACCTCTGCCCAACAATCCATCATCAGATCATACAGCGGCTTGGGGGTGTGGCGCGGCTTGTCCAGTCGCTTCCGCTCCTCGCCGACGTACTTAGCCACCTCCGGGTTCTTCATGCCGGAGTATGGCATCTCACCAAAGGAATAGATCTCCCACAGCAAAATACCTGACAAAAAGATATACGTAAATTATTTTTTTTAAATTCAGTGGTTTGAAAGACCATCCCTCGGTAGGAGGAGATTGCCATTCTTAGGTCCTACTTTTTCTTTTTTTCCTCTGTTGTTCATGCCCGTCTGTCTTGCTTTTTCCCCTGAATAAATGACTGTAATTGTGTCTATGTGCTTCCTTTACGAAAAGAAAAGGATAAGTAACTTGCTACACAAATAGGTCCCATATGTGAGGCAGCGTGGTGGAATCAGGCTCTCGTCAAAATAATGAAAGTGAAGAAACTTTCATTTTACCGCAGGTTTATGAATTTTTATCAAATTTTTGTTTCTTGGCTCAACACCTTTCATGCTCATTGAAGACTGATTTCTGTGTGGGTTTTACTTAAAAATGTTGATTAAAGGCACAAAAATGTAAATTTTCAGTTACCACGGACTCTTAAGCTAAGGAAATAACCAACCTTTGGGGGCCATTTTCTCACTAATTTTACCTCTGAAAACAGGTGACCCTACCTCCTTCATTCGCAAATATCTGGAATTGTACTCAAGATAAATGGATATTTTTTCAATGAAATAAAGACAAATGAACAAGCTTTAAGATGACACCAATAACTCTACATGCCCAAAAATTGACGAGAGCCTGATTCCACCAAGCTGCCTCACATATAGGAGACAAACATTATGCCAACCATCCACAAAACATCCCTGAGAACTAGACAGGGAACAAAAGATAAAATCTAGAAGAAGGAGAGATTGCGTTATCACTGAACAGTCATGCACAGATAAAACAGAAAACGTAAAATCACGGATAGCTTTTAAAATACGTCATTCCCCAGCTAACGTCTTTTTACTATTTCGTTACACTGGTGTACCCAGGGTTCCTGCCATGAACTTCCCATCAAATTCAAGGAGGTTTCAAGGAGAAATTGGTAAAAATCAAGGAGGTTTGGTCAAGAATTTCATGACGAAAGCCTACTTCCGATAGGCCCACACTGGTCGGAAAGAAATCATATCATAGTTTCCAATTTCCTACAAAAACTGTCCAGGGTGACTGCCTACTCTGCTTCTCAATTATCCAGGGGGGCTCATCCATTTTCCAGGGGCATGGTTCATAACAATGACAGTGCATGCTCCATTTATATATTATATACAAAATATATACACACACGCGCGTGCGCGCGCATTTAGGTACATTATATCCAGTTAACAACATGTCAGTGTGGCACTGGGATACTGTGTGACTTAGGTATTTCAGTCTGTTCTTACTTATTTACATTTTCCCCTCATCATATTCGTCTATATAAACTACATGAAAATGAATCTTGCTTTGAGCCTGAGAAAAGGCCTTGAACAAGAATATCGATTGTCAAGAACCAGTTTGGGTGTCAAGGTTTATATAATAAACGTGAAAGACAAAAATTGTTGCTCAAACTCAAAGTAGAGTAATAACACTGTTATTAACATGAATGTCTCAAGTAGACCTATTCAGAGTGAGAGGTGTAAAAACTGAGGGAGGGCAAGATGCAGTGACATTGAAAATCTGCGAATCTTGAGCAGAAAGCTAAAATATAGAATATACAATACATGTAATTTATTATCACCTACGCAATGAAATGGGAACCCTTTAGTTAAAAAACACGGCTTACAAGGTATGAGTATGACGGATCCCGATTCCACACAAGGCCTGCACCAACGCGCGCTTTGCAGAGAGCTCCAGATCAGTAGTAGATCTAGTAATCAAAATGAAGTAAAGTAAAATCTGCTTCCAAGTTCAGTCTTTGTCATTCGGTGTTGCCTTCAACCCCATCCCCCCAAGTGCGCTTTTTAAAAAAATCAGTACCCCCCCGAGTCTTATACTTCGCAGCGCTCAGACTTTGTATGAACTTTGGTGACCTCAACCATCGCCGATACTCACGAAGTGATGAAAAAGCACAGGTTTACTGACCGGTAACGATGGCGAGCCCGACAAGAAGCTTGTATAACTTTCTTTTTTTTTTCCACAAGTGACAGCACAGGACAAATGATTTATTTTCATGGCGACACAGCTTTTGTAATGTAAAACCTGCATGTTACAAATGTGTTATCAGACTACTAGGCCCTATCAGCAAATTTCTGGGTGGTAACGAAAACGAAAGTAGATCTTGATTTTCCCGATTTTCGCACATACACGACTTCCACTTGTTGCCGCCATAACCGCCTGTGCGCGTGTAACGTACTCATCAGGCCGGGAAAAGCCGAATGAATAATTATCACAATCACAACCGGAAAAAATGAACTCAAGGACATTATCGGATTTGGTCTTCAAATATTCGAGAACTTCCATGCATTTTCCCGCGTCTTTCACTGGGCAATTAACAGATTTCTTCAAATTCCCGTTGTATTCCAGGTCTTGGCGATTTTTTTCAAATTCCTGGGTAATTCCAGGGGCCCCCGGGATTCCAGGGGCCTGATAGTCACCCCGTGTTCCTGTCCTATCTGGCAAAATTCAAGGGGTTTTCAAGGAGATTTGTCCTTGAATGCAAATTCAAGCAGTTTTCAAGGACTCCTTGAATTCAAGGAGGCCGCGGGAACCCTGTTTACCCGAATTACAGATGTGTTAAACATATTCGCTATCCCAGAACTACAAGGTTCTATCTGCTCAGTACCTAGTCTTGAGAAAATTGCTGTTAAAAATTTTGAGTTTCACAACATGCCAAGCTTTTTTTCATGCAATTCTTTGAATATCTTCATAACAACTCGGAATAATCTTGCGATTTTGATAGAGCAGATTATAGAAAATTGGTTTCTGACTCATGGTCTTGGTAATTAAAAACGGCTAAAAATGTCACATGGAACTTTTTAACTCCAAGGCAGCGACTTGTCAATGCCTGACGCGTTAGAGTACTCTGTGCTCAACTGTATCATGTAGAGCCACCATGTGCCACTCACCGTAAGCCCACACGTCTGACTTGCTGCTGAACGTGCGGTGGTGGAGCACCTCTGGAGGCGCCCACTTGATGGGGAACTTGGTCCCCGTGGACATCTGGTAGTTGTCGTCAGAGAGCACCATCCTGTGCACAAACACAAACGGAATAAGATGAGATAAGATAAGATAAGATACATCTTTATTGTCCAGATCCAGGCACATAGGTTTGGTGTTTCACCACATGCAGTGTTTCACCACGCACAAACACACACATAAATAAACATGCATAAACACACGTGTGCACACCCATATAGACACACTCTTCCTTCACGCATTCTCTCTTCCACACACACACAGATAGCATCAACCAGAACTGACCACAGAATGGGGTCACCGGACACCTCGCTGGGGGGGGAGGGGGGCGCCTCCAGTGTGTAAGTGAATTGTCAGTTCAGGCTTAAATTTAAAAGTGATGTCAAGCAAGTATCGATGACACAGTGTTTAGATGGGTGGTTACTAGAATGTGTCCTTTCACAAGACATGACAACCCTAGCTCAGAAAAATAGGGCGCTGTGCAGTGGCGAGCAGCAATGGATGTTTATGAAATTGTTCTGTATTGGTGTAATATTACGTATTTATGTATATATTCATAATTATGTAATCAGGTATGTGTATTTGCCATTGTAACCCTAATTTCCCCATGGGGATTAATACTATACTTTATTTTTACTTTTCCAATCCAGCGGCCCTTTAAGTTCTAGCCCTTCAGCCTGTTGATATGGTAAAGAATTTACAGGGTTTTATACAGGTTTGTCGCTGTATAGAGTATTTCCGATATCTGGGGAGGCAGGTAAGTAGGTGCTACGCAGGCCCCTAAGTGCAGGGCAGGTAAATCTATTTCGGTAGGAATTCAGTGGGATGTGTTGTGTTCCCAGGCGAAAGACAGTGACTTGTTCTCTTCTACTCAGGGAATTTAGTGCATCTTTTGGGTATATTGTAATACTAAGTTTTGAGGTTGTGTTTGTGATGCTCCATTCTTGGCACGGGTGGCCTGGGATGTTGCTGTGGCCACGGATCCATGGGGATCACTAAAATGTACCTTATATATTATATTCATTTATAAAATGGTCCACTACTTTTCTCCTGGACAATGAGTGGTCGTCTTGGACAAGTTCAACGGTCATCACTTCAGAGTACTGGACCAGAGGGCAAAAAGCCCAAACATTGATGGATCAAAAATCAGTATCAGCAGGGCTCTTCTGGTATTTCCACATAGTAAAGTATGATATTAAAAGGGTTCTTTCTGGATTGTGTGGGTGCTTCCAGTTATCATTTGTTGTGAGTTCTATCGCCGGAGCACTACATGGTGATCTACATCTCATTCTGAAATGACTACTCAGCTCCAAGAATAAAAATACATGAGAAAAAGGTTCTACTTATATTTCCATACCAAATTAACAAAATTTGACATCCAACGTCTCAAAGGGACCTAAAATGCAGAAAGAGCCCCTTTAAAAGGGACCTAAAATGCAGAAAGAGCCCCTTTACAAGGGACCTAAAATGCAGAAAGAGCCCCTTTAATACCATACGATAACATTCTCCCTTACTTATTGAGCATGAAAAATTGATAGACTCTCGAATCCTGGAGGAAGCACCTAACCATATGAACTTCATCGTACAAAAAGTTTTTAAAAAATGAAAAGTCATTCAACAAACCATTAACCCCTCCACTGCCTGGCTCAAGACTGTTTTGGGCTCTTTGGTAGGGTTGTGGAGCAGGTCTGGCCATGAAATACTTTATTTATAGACTTAGCACAGGGGACAGACGTGTTCAATTATTTCATGGAATCAAGAAGCTGACTTCTCGAGTATATCTGGTCAATTTTAAGGACAAGCGGGCTAACCCAGATTTCGGGGGTTTCCAGGAATCTTGTCCAAAACCAAAAGTGAGCATTGCCCTACCTACAGCAGAAGTTTGGTTTCATTCGTGTGTATATTTGTTTTGTTATAGAGAAAACTCTCAGTATCTTTTAAAGAAACTGAACAGGGATCCAAAAACTTTACCTTTGATTTTCTCAAAACAGCATTTTTCGGGATAGCCCCCTTGTGCTTAAAAGCGACCATTTAACACTTTGCTCCGAAGGGACGCCGATGGCCGACGGCAAGAGGTCATCCTTTTCATCTACGGGACGCTGATTGGCGACAGTGTGATAGAGCAACAAAAACATTGCAGCCATGACCTCCTTTTACACATGCACACTTGTTAACATTATAATTTTCTTTCTGAATGGTTTGTGTGGCCTTTGAGAGTGGAAATCAGTTTGTTTACAACAACTTGAGTAAATGTCAAGTTTTTTAAATGTCAAGTGGACGTAACATGAGCGCTGCATTACACTCAGAATTCAGGTCATGAAAGTGCAATATCTTTTTTGTTTTACTAGAAGTTTGCGGCGCTAGCAACTGCATAAGGTCATAGGAGCGCAAGAAGATTAGAGGTGTTACAAGAGAGCAACAAACATAAAAAAGAAGTAGGGGAGATAAGGACGATAGATGTTTGATAGGAAAGAATCTAAGCAAACCACACCAGAGCACCCGTCAACCACCCACGTGCAAATATCTAAAATTTCCAATACTTATTCTAATTCCCTTTTCGGTGAACATGCAATCATCATGTTCAATTTTCTCAATATATTGAAAATTTCATTATGGTGGTGGTATTTTTGCCGAGATACGGGTATACTACTGATGTAGCCCATCTATATCCAGGTACGTGGGGACAAAGGGTGCGTGCACTGCGTGGATGAAAAATGTTAAGAGAGGTTTGTCATCAATTCTGAGACTCCAGTCAACATCAAGAGGTCAGATAGTTGTACAAAGGAAGCAAAAGAATGTACTTTAAAAGTTCTCAAATCCACAGACAAAAAAGTAAACAGACAGAATCAGAATCAGCTTTTTTTTCTTCCAGTCATTAGGACTATTAACAGTTCTAGAGTTCATCATTTTGCCATTAACAAAAACAATATCAATTTACCTGGCCAGACCAAAGTCGCCAACTTTCACTATCAGATCTCTGGAGACCAGACAGTTCCGGGCGGCCAAGTCTCTATGGATGAATTTCTTCTGGTCCAGGTACTCCATTGCTCTGCAAACCTAATCAAAGAAAAAAAAAAGAAAGCTATAAAAGCCTCGAAACCTTTTCACCGAAGAGAAATTATACTTTTTTTGTTTTTTTAAAAAGTTTACAGCACTTGCAACACAATAAGGTCATATAAGTGCCGAAGATTAGAGGTGTTACAAGAGAGTAACAAACATAAAAAAGGAGGAGGAGAGATCAGGACAAAAGATGTTTGAAAGGAAAGAAGGAGCAAACCACACCAGAGCACCCGCCAACCACCCACGGAGAAATTATAGCAACAATACCAATCAACCAAGTCATATAATAGAGCATGTTCACCAGAGCTGTCCAGAACAGCTACTACCCAGCTACAGTTAGACAACTTGACATGGCCAAATAGCTGTGAGTACACACCTTACCGCCCACAGTCAGACAAACGAACGCTGCAGACAGAGCTGTGAGTATACAGCAGAACACCCACCAACCACCCACAGTCAGACAACTGAAAAGGGTAGACAGATCTGTGAGTATACAGCAGAACACCCACCAACTGCCCACAGTCAGACAAACCAATACAGCAGACAGCTGTGAGAATAGAGTAGACAGAGCTGTGAGGATACAGCAGACAGAGCAGTGACTACAGCAGAACACCCACCAACCACTCAGGTCTAGACAATCCACCAGATTAGATAGAGCTGACCAGTGTCTATGGTCTAATGGTTATATCGTGTGCCCATTGTGGATGAGATAGGGTTAGCCAAATTTGTCGCCTCAAAACAAACACATTTGGGTTTTTTTAAAGCGACAAGTTGGGCGCGATCAGTTTGTGCCACGATAGCCGCTTTGCGCCCTCAATCTGGCTTGCAATCCGACCAGACCCGATCCCCTAATGGGCACCCTGTATTAGGCTTTTAGAGGTAGCAAACAGAAGCGCTGAGTTCGATTCCTGAAAGGAGACAACCCCCCCCCCCCCCAAGTCTCTCCATCAGGCTACTGGGACGCTGTATCTCCCTCAGTCCAGACAGACTCTTCCTGTCAGGTACAGTCGAAGCAACCCATTCCCTACATGACTTAAATTGTCTCAATAACAGCGTAAAAGATTTAGAAAAAGAATAATTACCATCAGGGAAAAATCCAGTAGTTGGTTCTGATTGTTGAGCAGCTCTGGCCGGTGTTCCCTCAAGTACATGTTTAAGGCACCTGGAATAAAGTAACGTTCTTCAGGTACATGTTTAAGGCACCTGGAATAAAGTAATGTTCTTCAGGTACATGTTTAAGGAACCTGGAATAAAGTAACGTTCTTCAGGTACATGTTCAAGGCACCTGGAATAAAATAACGTTCTTCAGGTACATGGTCAAGGCACCTGGAATAGAGTAACGTTCTTCAGGTACATGTTTAAGGCACCTGGAATAAAGTAACGTTCTTCAGGTACATTTTTAAGGCACCTGGAATAAAGTAACATTCTTCAGGTACATGTTCAAGGCACCTGGAATAAAATAACATCTTCAGGTACATGTTCAAGGCACCTGGAATAAAGAAACATCTTCAGGTACATGTTCAAGGTACCTGGAATAAAGTAACGTTCTTCAGGTACATTTTTAAGGCACCTGGAATAGAGTAACGTTCTTCAGGTACATGTTCAAGACACCTGGAATAAAGTAACGTTCTTCAGGTACATGTTCAAGGCACCTGGAATAAAATAACTTTCTTCAGGTACATGTTCAAGGCACCTGGAATAAAGTAAGGTTCTTCAGGTACATGTTCAAGGCACCTGGAATAAAGTAACGTTCTTCAGGTACATGTTTAAGACATCTGGAATAAAGTAACGTTCTTCAGGTACATGTTCAAGGCACCTGGAATAAAGTAACGTTCTTCAGGTACATGTTAAAAAACCCAGGAATAAAGTAACGTTCTTCAGGTACATGTTAAAAAACCCAGGAATAAAGTAACGTTCTTCAGGTACATGTTCAAGGCACCTGGAATAAAGTAACGTTCTTCAGGTACATGTTCAAGGCACCTGGAATAAAGTAACGTTCTTCAGGTACATGTTCAAGGCACCTGGAATAAAGTAACGTTCTTCAGGTACATGTTCAAGGCACCTGGAATAAAGTAACATTCTTCAGGTACATGTTTAAGACACCTGGAATAAAGTAACGTTCTTCAGGTACATGTTAAAAAAACCAGGAATAATAACGGTTCGACCGTCAATGTCTGATGATGACCAATGTATATATGCAGAGGAGAATATTTCCTAACGTATATATGCAGAGGAGATTATTTCTTAAAGTGGAATAGAAGAAATAAGCATAAAGATGATTTTGTGGCTTCTGCTGTGGCCCTCCAATCACCCACACAGTCGGACTATGCACTTACCATGGTCAAGTAACTCAGTAATTATCAACTGCTTCCCCTTGTCGACTAGCACCACTCCATACAGCTGTACCAAGTTTGTGTGTTTGAGTTGCCTGAAGAAAGAACAATACACAAGGTAAGTGAAAGTCTAAGACCAGTGTGAAGATCAACAGCTTAATTAGTGCTTCATCTTCAAAACCAAAATGATCTACTTTTGTCTAGCACAGTAATAATAATAATAATAATAATAGATAGCATTTGTATAGCTCATATCCCCGCTCAGCAGCAGGCTCTATGCGCTTTACACTATATTATTACCCCAGCAGACCATAGAACACTCCGAAACATTCTCAGCTTCCCGGGAAGAATACAGTGCAAGCAGCCGATTAAGCGCTCAAACACTAACAAACTGACAAGATCTTTCGCTGTCTATAGCCGGGTACCCTTTCCCACCTGGGTGAAGTGAGGAAAATTCATGTAAAGTGCCTTTCCCAAGGACACAACGTCGGGCCCTTGATGGAATTCGAACCCACGACCTTACGGTTGCGAGTCCGAGAGCCTAACCACTAGGCCACCGACGCCACCAGTATCTAAGTTAATTAAAACACACGTTAAAAAAAAACCTGGACTTTCTGGATTTTTATTGCTTCAGCAAGACTTTCATGGCTTTTCCGATCCAGCGGGGAGACTTTCATGGCACAAGCAGGTCATATAAGTAATGCAGGTTAGGGTCATTACAAGAAAGTTGTTGTTGTTGTGTGTGTGTGGTAGCCTATCCGTTCGAAATGTTTGGAGCCCCGAAGAGCGTGCTCTTCGCCAGGGCCACCGCCTCCCTTGGATAGCGGGTGAGGCAGTCCAACCTTCCTGAATCCCCCCCGAAGAGATGCCACCGCCGGGCCTCCGTGGCGGGGCATCTCTGCAGCCAGTGCTCCAAATCTTGGGGTTCCTCGCTGCACAATGGACAGGTTGGGTCCGATGTTCTGTCTATTCTATTTTTGTAGGCCCGCAGCCCAGAGAAGTGACCGGTCCTGATTTTTGCCAGTAATGACTGGTCACTGCGGGACATAATAAGAGCCTCTCTTTTTAAGGAAAATGCCCTGTATACTTCCTTCGTCCGCGTGTGGCATATAGGGGGGGTCTTTTGTAATTAGTTTTATCTGGGCGCACGCACTTTCATAAGTAATTTGGCGGCCTGACCCTGCAGCGCTGTTGCCAGTTTGGCATTACTGTCAGCGAGATCGTTGCCGAGGATATCGCAGTGTGTTGTTGTTGTTGTTGTTGTTTTCAAATCCCTTTAGCTGTGAGCATATCCTTGTCATCTGGTCAACGCCAGAGTAGAGCAGGCTTTGTAAGTCTATAGGTGTGTGTAGGAACCTGCGTCGAAGAACTGCCAGGTTTGGGCAGTGAAGGAGAAGATGTTCAACGGTCTCCTCGTGGTAGTCACAGTGTCTGCAATGGGGTTCCCACAAGGGTTTAATTTTGTTTATGTGCTTGTTGGTGTGTAAGTGTCCTGTACGGGCTCTGAAGATCAATGTCTTATCCACTCTACATAAGAGATTCGAAGGGTCTTACAAGAAAGTAACATAATATACAAAAAAGGAAGAGAGATAAAGACTATAGATGTTTGATAGGAAAGAAGGAGCAAGCCTTGGGATGGAAACTGATCAGTCCAAAATTTACTGAACTTTTCTAGGGCTATACAGATTTGGAAAAATACACTTATTCAATTGTACATTAGTATACATAGTAGAATGACTCACCATTGAGAGTAGGTAGACAGGCCCCACTTACGGAAAATGACAGAGCAAATCAAAATTACTGATTTCTGTAAAATTTACGGAAAATTTCCACCCCTGACAAGCCACAACAGAGCATCCGTTAACCACCCACTGTGAACTTTCTGTTTTAATTGTTTTAGTAAAAGTTTTACATCACTTGTAACACAATTATGTCATATAAGTGCTGAATATTACTATTATTAGACGTGTTATAAGAGAGTAACAAACAAAAAAAAAGGAAAGATAAAGACAATAGATGTTTGACAGGAAAGAAGAAGCAAACCACAACAGAGCACCCACCAAACCACCCACAACTTTCTAGGTAAGATTTCCATGTTATGTTTAGCTTGTTGGGCCTGGGTTCCTGCGATGTTAAGATGCACAACAAGAATAATGATACAGCACTCACGTCATGGTTTTGATTTCCTGTTCCACTTCGTCAGACGATGGTTGGACCTCAATTTCTTTGATGGCGACCGGTATAGGAGAGGGCCCTTCGCGGTACTCCCCCTTGTACACCACCTGTGACAGAAACCACGACAAAAGCATGCCATGATGGTACATCTTTGTGTTTGTTTTGTTAATTTGTTTGTTTGTTTGTTAGAAAATTAGAGAGTGTACATCCACACCCTACCACAATACGCCAAAGGCCCAGGAAGTTGTCTCACTAACAAGGCAATCCCCAATGTCCGGATCGGATGCGGGAACAACTTTTTTTTACTTCACATCAACACAATAACTGTCCTTTAGAGCCGGAAAAATGTCCTTTAGAGCCGGAAAAAAGCTCTTTTGTTTTAGTAAGTTTTACAGCACTTGCAACACAATTAGGTCATAAACGTACTGAAGATTAGAATTAGAGGAGAAAGAAGTTTGACATGAAAGAAGGAGCTAACCACACCAGAGCAACCGCAAACCACCTACATTCAGCGGAGAAAGAGTGAGACAAGCAACAGCAGGAACAGCACAGCTCAAACCTTACCCCAAAACAACCTCGGCCCAGCTCCGGTCCCTTTGTTAACTTCCGAGGATCAAGTTGCCATAGATCTGAAAAAGCAAACCAAAACATTATTTTTCTTTGAAGCAAAGAAGAAAGAAAACAAGTCTTTATTCCTTTTTTTTTTTTTTTTTTTTTAAATTCTATTCCGATCAGATGTGGAAAAGCAAAAGGCAAGTCAACAAATTTATACGCACGAACACACTATCACTTGCCGCGTATAATTTTTTCAAAATTAGAGGTAGGGTTTTTCCCGTGACAGCTGCTCCTTCAGTGTGGAATTCCCTCCTGTTGGATCTAAGAGCGGCGCCCACTTTGACTGCATTTAAATTTGGTCTAAAAACACATTTATTTTCAATACTTTGTCGCCCAAAACGTACGTACGTAAAGAGTGCACTTTGGACAAAATAGTTCTGAGGCTACGATTTGTCTGACATACAACTGTCAGAGATAAATGGTCGTTTTTAAGGACAAGCGGGCTAACCCAGATTACAGGGATTACCAGAAATCTTGACCTACACCAAAAGTGGGCATTGCCCTACCTATAGGACAAGTTTGGTGTCATTGGTGTATAATAATATTTGTTTGGTTATAGAGAAAAAAACCCTTGTCTTTTAAAGAAACTGAATAAAGATCCAAAAACTTAACCTTCGATTTTCTCAAGACAGTATTTTTCGGGATGGCCCCCTTGTGCTTAAAAGCGATCAAATAGATTCGTAAAACGGGAGCAATGAACCATGTGCTATTTGACGCATAATTTCCAATCTCCAGACCGCACTGTTTGTGTGCATACACTTCCAAATTTTACTTATAAAGGTAAATTATGGTGAAATTGTTTAAGATGACCACTCATTCCCGGGGAGAAAAAGGGTTGTCTTAGACAAGTGGACGTCTTCCACAGTGTCGCTTCAGTGTCAAAATAAATTGTAGGGAAGAAATTGGAAAAGGCTGTTTGTACAGGTGATTGTCTTATACAGATGTCCCTTAGAGCAGATTTGACCGTATTTTCCTTTACACGTTGGTTCAGGTTATTGTCTTATACAGGTGGCCCTTATAGCAGGTTCAACTGTATTCTTTTTTGCATGCACCCCTCAGAAAAGCTGTACAGTAAAGGATATCTAAAGAAAACAATAAACGTTAGGGAGAAGGGTACACTTTGGGTGTACACATGCAACATGAAATGTAAAATCCCACTGACCGAAGAAGATTCCGGCAGTAGCTGGTTTGTTGCCATGTCCCGGGGGTTCTCGTAAACGTGTGTAGATACCTGTAAAGTCACAAACAGTCAAGAATCAAGAGTCCATTATCCTGGTGCTATGATCAAAATAGAAAAATATATTTCAAGTTTTTTTTTAAGTTTTGATGAGAGTTTTACAGCAGTTGCAACAAAATGAGGTCATATAAGTACCGAAGATTAGAGGTGTAACAGGAGAGTAACAAACACAAAAAAGGAGGAGAGATCAGGGCAATGGAATACAGTTTGATAGGAAAGGAGCAAACCGCACTAGAGCACCTGCCAACCACCCGCGTACATTATCAATACTATGGCTACAACTCTCAGGTATTGCTGTACAAGGAGACAAACTAACGTAGGTTCATCACGTTTCTATGACAAAAGATGAACGGTGTATTGTAGCCTACCAAAAACTATTGACTTTGACCCTAAGGGAGCTGGGGAATGTGAAAAAGAGTGCAGACCTCCTCTGTTAACAGTGAGCATCACTCCAGTGTATGTGCGTGCGTGCGCGCGCGCGCGTGCATGTGTGTACATGTTCATGTTTGCGAGCATGAATGTTTTGTGTGTGTGTATACATGTGTGTACATGTGTGTTTATATTGGGGAGAACATGCGTGATAACTTGTACAAAATCAACCAACATATTTGCTGTATCTATCAATGTCCATTTTGCCTTAATCCGAGAGGTACCTTCTTAATTTTTGTCAGCACACCTCACATACTGTAAGCTTGGGTGCAGTGAAGTGGTTCTCACAGTAATTTTCCTAAAACTGTATAGCAAAACTCTTCAGATCACGATATATATATATATATATCATTTGTCACACAAAAAAACCCAACCTTGTGAAGGTGAAATGGTACAGGTTCAACACCTCTTTCAACATTGCAATGTTAGTTAAGAGTCGGGACCTCCGAGTTTAACGTCCATTTCCGAAACGACCGAGCCAAGTAGGAAATAAGTGTAAAGTGCGTTTCCCAAGGACACAACATTGGACAGAGCTGAGGTTTGAACCCCTGAACTCGCAATCTCACGATTACGAGTCCGGTAGCCTAACCATTAGGCTATGGACGCCACACCTTATGAAGGGAAGCACTCATGGTCAGGGCAATCATACAACAAAAATCTATTATTATATTATGTAGTAAGGTTTTACGACACTCGCAACTGCATACGGTGATATGAGCGCCAAGGGGTGGATGTTAACAGAGAAGTCTTTACAGGGAATCAAGCTTATTCTACTTACCTCTCTAGCTTCAACAGCACAGAGTGTTTCAACTTTCAAAGCACCCCGGAAATAGCAGGTCACAAGAGTGTGACAAACATACAAAAAAAAGTAGAGGAAAACGACGATAGTATGGATTAGGAAAGAAAAAGCAGCAGTTCCCTGTCATAGTTCAGGCACAGTTATAAGCATGACATTGCTGAATCAGCCCATTTAAAATTCTACTGTGCATAAGAACGAGAAATGTCCCACCTTTGGGAACGTCCTAAAGACACTTCAGTCAGTGGCACCGCCCCAAAAATCTGATAAAGAGAAAAATCCCTCACCTCCTGGATTGTGCTTGTGGTAATAAATGAGGTCCTGAATACTGTTGTGAGGGTGTTGGGTAGAGATGTAATACTGTCCCAGCTCGTTGCGGTTGATCCGATACTGTCGTACATTGCCTCCCCTGAGGAATAGACATTGTGGGTTTGTTTACTGTGAGAACCACTTCACTGCACCCAAGCTTGCAGTATGTGAGGTGTGCTGACAAAAATTAAGGAGGAGGAGAGAATAGGACAGTAGATGTTTGGTAAAAAAAAAAAAAAAGAAAGAGCAAAGATATACAACAATATATTTTCCCTATTTGAGAATCAAACTTAAATGCAAGGCAATCCGCAAAAGTAAATCTTAAATTCTGGACACAAATCACTGAATATGGCCACTTGCAAAAATATCTAATCTGTGTATGATAGATAAGATTTACGAGTTTATGGGTGAAGCTATTGATGTTTCTGAGGTAATGAGTTTTCACATTGATTAGGAGAAGAAGGACTGAAAGAAAAGGAAAGGAGGAAGGGTGGTGGGGGGGGGGGGGGAGATGAGACAGAGAGAGTGAGAAAGAGGGGGGGGGGGAGATGAGAGAGAGAGTGAGACGGTCTATGTACTAGTAACATTCTGTACAGTTGTGCCCATCCACAAAAAGTATCAGTAAAAGCTAGTCACAGTTGTCGTTGTCACTCACTTCTCCGATGTGTAAATGGCTAGAGAGTACTCCCCTGGGCTGCTCTCGGAGTCCCGCACCATGAAACAACCTTCCTTGCCGGTGTACTTTAAGATGCGCTCGCTTTCTTTGCGAGAGCAGTCCTTGTAATACCACCTGTCAGGTAAGAAAACAACAGCTTGTCAGTCAGCCAAACTTTCTTGATTTCTTGAAGAGGAGAAATTTGTGAGTTAAAAAGCTAAAAAAATTGTTACTTCATTTTCACTTTTTAAAAATACAACCGCAGAGGTCATGATAGGGAAAACAAGCTTGCATGCCCTCCAAGGAACACCTCACTCAAAGTGCTCACTTACACTCATACCAACAGAAAATCATGAAGTGATCACAATGTAAAGTGTGTCACGAATGCCCACTTAAAAATGCCTTTGTAAAAAGAATATGTAACTTTAATAGCTGTCAATCACAAAATTTCTGAAAATGTGAAAAACTTACGCGAATACATCCAGACCAATGTTGGGCTTGATGAAGTTGGATGGAATGTAACCTCTCTGACTGTGGAAGAAAAACAAAAAAGGATGGTTTGTTAGTTTGAGTAAAGAGAAGCACATAGCCAAAAAATGATCATTTAGTGCTGACAACTTTTAAAAACAGAAGGAAAGCAAAGAAGTAAGACCTACCGATTGCACCCTCCAACCATCCGCACAACAAAAAGGGACTGAATTGTCAGTGAGAAGGTATGAGAACTTATCTCTCCTTACCGGTCTGTTCCACATGTCGCGACCTCAGTGCTTTCTTGTCCTATCTCATTTTTAATAGCAGTGAAAACAGTCCATAACAAAGAGTGAGCTTTAGAAGATGTCACATTTTCAAGGTGAAGAATACAACCCCGGGGGTACAAAATGACCCCAAGGCGTACGAACAGGGTTTTTAAAAAATGGAAATAGGACAAGAAGGCACTGAGGTCGCGATGTGGAGCCTGGGATCCTTACCTCTACTATAACATGTCACCATCATTGAACTACGACATATAAGACATAAGACTTTTGGAAAATAATTACAGTCCACAAATGGCGTCTATTTATTCTATGCTTACGTATTTATTAGATTAGGCTTTGCCGAAGTTATGCATGAGCATCTTTTCGCCCAATTTTCATGGGCTTAGGAATACATCTATCATAAAGTCTAAGATGTCACCATATCCTCGCCTCAGAACTATTTTGTCCAAAGTACTTTCTATAATTAAGTACACTTTGGACAAAATAGTTCTAAGGTGACTATATCTTGACTACAACATATTCAGACTGTAGTTAAATATACTGTGTCTATTAGCTCGAGCCTTTCATACTTACTAGGCTTTGTTGAAGTTATGCATGTGCAATGTGCACACCATTTTCTTTCTAAGATAAATAAAAGTCAAAACAGACAAGAATTACATCAAAATGCACAAAAGATTAATCAAGAAAATTGACACATTCATTCAAGTTTACATTCTCTTCCACTCACCCATTGCAATTTTCAACTTTCCACCAGTGTTCTGCAGAGTCATCGATGACTGTGACCTTCTCACCCTGCTCGTCACAAAAAAAAGACCAAAAAAAAAAGAGAAAAGAAATGAGAGTCAAAAGTGAAAGTGAGTCATTTTAATACATTTCACTTCCTGCTTCCATTTCGAATATATGCAAGGGGAGACATGAATTGTAGACAGGAAGTAAAACATGGAAGTCCTGTATTCTCTCAGAAGTAATTAGCGTACTACAGTCGAACCTGTGTAAGACGGAATCGCAAGGGAGCGGGAAAAAAATTCCGTTTGAGACATTTTCCGTCTTAGACAGGGGAATTTAGGGGGGGGGGGGTGGGGGTGGGGGGGTTCAAAGGCCCAGCCGGTGAGATCAAAGATCGCTTGTCCGATCGGCAAGCAGTGGTCAAAACTTCACACCTCTCAGCTGCTATCCTGTCTGATAGTGACATGCGTCAGTCTTACTTATCCAATTACCACCAGTGCTTGCCTTTCATAGGACCACTGTTTGACCTATTAAAACAGAAACGTTTGAACACCTCCTTTGCTTCCACCCTTAGTCCCACCCACCAATCCCACCCCTCACTGTCATCATTGCAACAACGATTCGAGGAACTCTTTTCTCAGCAGGCCGTACGATCAGGGCAGCAGGCATTGGTCAATCTAATTTCACACCTCTGGCTTCTGGCTACCCAGGAAAGTTTCCGTAGTGGCTGGCTACTCGAGCACTCTCACGGGCAGTCGTGAGATATCACACCCACACTACACTGACCATCTATAGCGCTCAGTGCTCACATGATGGGGTAACATAGGGTAACTTCTACTCTATCCCCATTGCACCCCTACTCCCCTTCCTCGCCCAGCGGCATGGCCATGGCGTTAAGTTTAGAGCCGGCAGAATCAAACTTGCGAGTTTTGTTTCAAATCAGGGCTGAGCGGGCAAAGCATTTTCCGTCTTAAACAGGTGAAACCCTCGGAAGGGAGCGGATTTTTCTTTTCGTTTCCGCGTTGGACAGGTTTCCGTTTTATACAGGTAATTAAAGAGGACTATATCAAGGGGGGAGCAGGGGGATTCCGTTAAGACAGGTTTCCGTTTTACACAGGTTTCCGTTAAGGCAGGTTCGACTGTACTTCATGATAACATCTAAAAGTTCATTCCACTAAGACAAAAAGAAACGACACGTGTCTCAGAGTACAAACATACAAAAACAAAAGCTACGTTACTTCTCAGAATTAAGAACAGCTCTTACTCAAATGTCAGCTGAAGTTGTTTGTTTTTAAATCAATAAGATGAATATTTGGAGTAATTTTCTTTTAGTAAGAACACAATGTTTTATGTTACTGTTGTACGTTGTACTGTATTGTAAAGCGCTCAGAACCTGTGTACTTTAATTGGGGTTGAGTGTTATATAAAGGTCATTTATTATTATTATTATTATTACTTCAGTGTAGAAAAGGGGAACGGTGTGAAAACAGAACATTTCTTCACCTGGACAAGCTCCAGCCCCCGTTCATCGGAAGGTGTGTAGTCGTACATAGCCACATAGATTCTCTGCTTTGATGTGTCTGGACGAGGGGGAGGGGGTGGGGGGGCAACAGGTCTTCGCAAAATGTCATCTGCTGGAAAGGAAAAAAGACAACCTTTCAATAGCACCCAAACAACCTTTCACTAGGAAGAAAAACGGTTCTCTGATAAAAAGATTTTAAAAAGAGTCGAAAAAAAAAGACAAATTGACCAGACAGGCTCAAAGATTGTGACAGCACAAATATTGCAAGTAAACAAACAATTCTGAAATACTCTGTAAAGTTTCTTTGGTATAAAACACTTTTTTCAGTAGTGGGGATCAACTGCCAAGTGACATGTATTATCTAATGCCCGGCTTGAAAATACATAGAGAAATTCAGAACGAAAATTTTAGCCTCTTAACTCATCCAGCCCTAAAGCTGATAATATCGTTGTGCGCGTGCAACGCTCCCACCCTAACCCCGACAGTGTTGGAACGGAAAATTTTACTCTCGTGACCAAAACCATCATCAGGCAGGCTTCAACGTGGAACCCACAAGGAAAGTGTAAGAAGGGAAGACCAAAGATGACATGGAGGCGAGCGGTACAAGCGGAAATTGAAAAAGCGGGGACATCATGGAAACAGATAGAAAAGGATGCCCAGGACAGGCTTCGCTGGAGTGATGTTGTTGATGGCCTGTGCTCCACTGGGAGTTAAAAAGGGCAAGAGAGAGAGAGACCAAAAACACTACTTTTATGTGAAGTGGACTATAGCCTTATTGGAAGAGTAACCATTTTTCGTTTGAAACAGACTATGACCAGAAGTGCAAGCCCAAATTTAGAGCAAAGAAAGCTTTATTCGTGAACCATGAGAGGGGGTGTGAAATTTGAACGCACTTCCTTTCTTCACTTTTTCTTTACCTTTTGACTCTGTCTATGGACATTTTTTCCATAGAGTATTGCATAAAAACTGTAACATATTTTGCCTTCAAATTTTTAATTCACACAAATAAAGGTTTGAGTAAAATGTGCACCTAATTTGGGTATGATATCTTAAAATTTCGTGTTTTTTTTTCAATTTTTCAAAAAGTATTAAAAATCTCTAGGGAGAGCTGACAATCCCGAAATGTAGTCCTAGGGTTGAGCGAGTTAAGGTGATAAAAGTGGGTGTTAGCTATAAACAATGTGTTCTATATCATCATTGACACAACTTTTACCATTTATGAAGCCGACTACTTCGACCCCGCCAATGAGGACCAAACTGGGCTGATTTGGATAACAGCATCCAGAATAAAGACAGATATGCCAGAAAAAAACAAACTCCACCACGTGGGAATCGACTCAGTCCTCTTTGAGAGCGAGGTGGGGAACATGTCCATTTCAGCACAAACAATCGTGCATCACCTCAGTAACGGTAAATGACAGTTGAGCGTTATATCCTCTCACCTCAGTAACGGTAAATGACAGTTGAGCGTTATATCCTCTCACCTCAGTAATGGTAAATGACAGTTGAGCGTTATATCCTCTCACCTCAGTAATGGTAAATGATGATGGGCCAAAGCAGAAACAGGAAGATCTCTCTTCGGGTACAAGGACAAACCCAACCCCAAAGACCCTTCGAATCTCTTATGTAGAGCCGATCAGACATTTATCTTAAGAGCCTGCACAGGACACTTACACACCAACAAGCACATAAACAGAATTAACCCCATGTGGGAACCCCATTGCAGGCATTGTGACTATCACGAAGAGACAGTTGAACATCTTCTACTTCACTTCCCAAACCTGGCAGTTCTTCGATGCAGGCTCCTACACACACCTACAGACTTACAAAGCCTGCTCTACTCTGGCGTTGACCAGATAACAAGGACATGAGGCTACTTGACGGAGGCATTGCGCTGCCAAGAGCGAAATGCTCGCAGCTAAAAGGATTTGAAAACAACAACAACAACATGGTAAATGCCAGTTCTGTGTTCTATCCTCTCACCTCCGTTACACTAAATGACAGTTCTGCGCAATGCCCACTTACCACATTTACAGCCAACAGCGTTCCTGTCTGACTGATGACAGCAGTTGTAGTATGGAACCTTCTTCGTCCACACTCCTGGGTGGTACTTGCTGTGAAACTGAGCGTGGTTCCGGAGAGCACCTGGGTTAGTTGACAAGAAATCGTCAAGTTCTGAGCGCAAAAGAACCACCTTAAAAGCTATTACCAACATTTTTCCTTGAGGCAAAAAGAAGAAAGGCTACAAAAATAACCTCCTCCTTCCAATTTTTTTCTCCCCACCTTATAATAATTAATAGTAACATTTTATTTGCATTTTAACCATAACACTTTCAACACAAGAGCTGGACAGATTTAATAACCTTTTTTTCCAGCTTAACAATGCTAGAGCAACAAGTTAAATCACACAAGTTGCAGCATTTGAACATTTAGCAATGCCAATGAAAAATTGATTTTTCGCTTTACCCATTTTTTATTTGGTACCTAAGAAAGAGTTTTCAATTCTTCTAAAAATTAAGCTTTTTTAATGATATGTGTTTTTGGGTGGAGAAATCGTCTCTTCAGTCAGGTTTACTCATCATTCTGTAGTTATTTTGTTATAATTAAAATTTTGGTGTACATAGTATGATTTTGCGTGAGGGAAAAAAGGCCGGTCTCCCAGCGAAGCCACTTTGGACAGGGGGGTAGTGGTACATTTATGATAAATTCTAAACAACTGTTTGACACAGAACGTTCAAATTTGAGGACGCTATAGAGGAAAGATAGATCTGTTACTGTCTTCATGTTGAAATTCATGCTCCTTGTAGTTTACAGAATACCCGATACGAAAGTATTTCCGACACCAAAAATATGGGTTAATTTATGTGTACAAACTTTGACGTCCATATATCGTCTTATTTTCTGATTGGTTGCCAAGTTTCATTCACATTGGTCCAGAAATAGAGCTGAACGAGTTTGAGAAAGTTAGTCACCTTCATTCAGACACGCTCCAAAATTACACCCGCAAATGAAAACCAAAATTTCGCCGCGCGCAGACGCCCGACTGGCATTGCTAGAACATTTTATAACTCAAAGACAATAAAACCTGTTTCAAAACAAAAAAAGAGGAACATTTAAAAATGAATGAACTCTTTTTAGTTTTAGTTTTAGAAAGAGTTTTATGGCACTCGCAACTGCCTGAGGTCATATGAGAGGTGTTACAAGAGAGTAACAAACATAAAAAAGAAGGAGGGGAGATAAAGACGATAGATGTTTCACAGGAAAGAAGAAGCAAACCACACTAGAGCATCTGCCAACCACACACTGAATGAACCCTACATTTACTCAAAATACCTTTTTGAAATCCACACAACAACTGACACAGTATGACACAAATGGTGGGATTCTTGGGTTCCATTTTGCATGGTGCATCACTAATATTTAAAAAACAAAACGGGGTGCTGCACAGTGGCGACCAGCTATGGCATGGTTGTGAAATTGTTCTGTACTGGGGTAATATTGAGTACTTATGTACATATGCATTTATCAGTATGTATTTATGTACGTATGTTTGCCATTGTAATCCAAATTTCCCCAAGGGGGTCAATAAATATTTTTTTTTTATATTTCACTTACAAGCCCGTATAACTTCCAGCCAGGCAGCCCTCTCTGGGTCACAGCTGGCTATGACATACAAGGTGGAAAAGTCATTCTTCCCTTCCTGGAACACAATCTGATACCAAAAAAAAAATGTTAGTCTTCGTCGTACAATAATGGTCCAATGTATCTAGGGTTGAGATAGGAAAGGGGTTAGTGAGAGAAACTGTCATAATATAGTCGACTCCGGAAGTGTTGAACTTCCTCGAATTGATCTACGTTTTTTTCCTCAGGTCCCAGCACCTCTTCTGCTTCACAGGTCCCAACGGTTTAGTTCAACTTTATAAGAGTTTATCTTTTTTCACTCCCCCCCCCCCTGCCCGACAACATCTTTTAAAGTTTTAGTAAGGTTTTATGGCGCTCGCAACTGCATAAGGTCATATGAATGCCAGGGATGGATGTCAACAGAGAAGTCTAAATGGGGAATCAGGCTTACTCTGCTCACCTCTCTAGCCTCAACAGCAAAAAGTCTGCTTCGACTATCAAGGCACCCCGGAAATAGCAGTTCACAAGAGAGTGGCAAACATACAAAAGAAGTAGAGGAAAAATGACAATAGTAAGGATGAGGAAAGAAAAAGCAGCAGATCCCTCGTGTTGTTCCAGCACAGTATGAGCATGACATTGATAAATCAGCTGATTTATAATTCTACTGTGCATAAGAACATATCAATAAGTGCGATGCGCCTCCACTTAGGGGTTCCGAAGGGTCTTTGGGGGTGGGGTTTCTCCCTGTACCGAAAGAGAGATCTTCCTGTTTCTGTTTTGGCGCCATCATCATTTCCCACCGTGTAGGTGTGGGGTTCGGGCGCTCAACTGTCTTTTTTTCTTTACTGAGGTGAGAGGATATAACGCTCAACTGTCATTTACCGTTCCGGAAAAGGAGAGGGGGGGGGGGGGGGGGGGGGGAGGATTCAGACGCATATAGGCACATGCACATATGTGTCCCTGCCAGTCATTATCAGTCATATGAAGGAAATTTCAAAACTGAATTAACATTATTTTAAAAAACTATCACCTTTTCCCTACACTTTAAAACAATTACTCCATTCTTGTAGCTATATAATAAATGCTTATTTGATGATATTATGTCGTAAGGCTCTCGGACTCACAAACGTAAGGTCGTGGGTTCGAATCCCGTCAGGGACTCGACGTTGTGTCCTTGGGAAAGGCACTTTACACGAATTTTCCTCACTTCACCCAGGTGGAATGGGTACCCAGCTATAGACAGCGAAAGATCTTGTCAGTTAGTTAGTGTTTGAGCGCTTAATCAGCTGCTTGCACTGTATGCTTCCCGAGAAGCTGAGAATGGTTCGGAGTGTTCTATGGTCTGCTGGGGTAATAATATTGTGTAAAGCGCATAGAGCCTGCTGTTGAGCAGGGATATGCGCTGCTATACAAATGCTATTTATTATTATTATTATTATTATTATTTTAAGCAATAGTGACAAGAGTATACGTGAAGAGAAGGACAATAACGATGGTGATCAAGTAAGAGGAGGAGACAACCAGGGTAGACCTCAGACACCAGTTCTTTTTCAATAGAACAATAGCAGGTGTATTATTCATACCATTCCTGTACAGCAACAGAAAATGTCCCACAGGGTCAATAGTATCTCTTCTAAATACAGAGACAACAAAGTATCTTATCTGATCTAATCATCATCATTAGCACATCTGGTTTGTCACTTGTTCTGCTGTTAATGTGGGCTAATAACACCGATGGAAAGTCATTCCACATAGTATTAAATACTATTACGAATATCCTTTTTTTTTACCACCTCTTTTAAAGGAGAACTGTCTCTAAAGGATTTAATTTAATACAAAGGCAAAGTTTTGTTGCTTTTTAAAATCTTAATATACACACGCCAAACAACAAATCAAAGGTTCCTCTTTCAGTGTCCTTCACTACCACGGCCTCAAGCAAGAGAGAAAGTTCAGTCTTTTAACAGTTTGCTACCCCAGAATCATAAAGTTCTATCTGCTCAGTACCAAGTTTGGAGAAATTTGATGTCAAAGATTTTGAATTTCACATACGTTAAGCTTTTTCGAAGGCAATTTTTTGAATATCTAATAAACAATCCGAATTACGATTTTGATAGAGCAGTCAGAACATTTGGTTTCTGACCTCATGGTCTTAGTAACTTAAAACAGCCAAAAATGTCTGTAGAACTTTGTATTTCTTAGGTAGCAAGATGTCAAAGCTAAATCAAGCAGAAATGCATTTCTCTGTCAAAGAGTATCTTCCACTTGTTCCTTCATTAAAGATGAGAGAGGGGGCTCTGCTAAACCTAGAGGTTAAGGTGTTGGCCTTTCATTCAATAGGTCCCGGGTTCGAATCCAGAGAGCGACGGAAATGTATCTTCTCTAAAATTGTGTCCTTTCACCTTCTTTCCTGCTCTCTAACAATGTTCTGTCATCTGCTTTCGCCTCCACTTTCTGCCCCCATCCTCTCATCTCCTTTGTCCCTTCCTCTGGGCTCCTGACTCTTCCTGCAGCTTTTGTACTGCTACTCCTTGGCTCCTTCTTACTGCTGTCTATCAGCCACACCCCTGATCTTATGGTAGGAAAGATCTACACTTAGCCTTCTTGGACAAGAGCGAAAAGTTGCGCACGTTAAAGATCCCTCGGTGGTCCAAAAACTATAAGAGTAGCTTCGACTGCCACCTGGGTCCAACTCAAATTGATTACTGATTACTGTGTCCTGCACGCTCATATCACCTTATGCGGTTATGAGCACCATAAAAAACTTTCCCAAAAAACGAGAGTATTTCTGATGGGCAAGTTGTGTGCCCTGTGGTGACAGCTCACATACAGGACAAAGCAAATGTTTGTCAGGAAATACTGAGTACAGTTAGCACAAAGGAAGGATAAAAGATCTGCATTAGTCATCAAGACAAAAAAATCTCACCTGAAAGACATTATCCTTCTCATCAAGGGATCTGTCTTCAACTTCCTTAACAACTTTCATAGACGATACAGGGATGGCACCCTTCTTCTTGCCCCGGCTCTGTGAGAAAGAAAAACATAATGATTGATCTTGCTGGTTAAGTTTGTTTTTTTTAAAGTGTTTTCACAACCTCACCTATGCACTTTAGATTATTTAGGATGCAGGCTTCTGACCCTGATTGCCAGGGCCAACCAGGGCTGAGAGGGATATAACATCCCAACAGAAAGATCGAAATACTCCGTAAAAATTTCTCCCCACTCAGGACACTTTGTGACACCTAAGTACCTAATTGCTACACCACAGACTCTGATCTACGCTCTGTGAGAAAGAGAAACTGAATTATTGAGTTAGCTCTTAAACAACAAGAAACTTCACTCTTTTGCCACAACTACGACATAGGGTTAATATCAGGTGCTGAATATGTGCCAATCCACCATCAATAGAATAGTACTGTCTCCCCCTGAGTAAATACTTTTTTAAAAATCCTAAGTGTGGACCCATCACTTAATTTACAACACATCAGTGCTCAGTGACAATCTATATCTGTCTTTCGGATCTATAACATACAACACCGGTCAAGCGTATTTAATTGATCAACATTTCCCTATAAAAAAACAGCAACACATAAAATATATTTCTGATTACTTCCAGCATCACATTACAGAAAGTGTCTTATATCCAATACAAAGAAAGATAATCACAGAACCAGGGATCTCATTCTGTTATACACACAAGACAATGAAATAGAACAAATCATATCCCTTTGAGTTTGTGTATCAGTGCCATGTTTATTGCCAGATACCCTCTTCAATACTAAAATTAAAAAGCTATAATTCTCACATATTTATTACGAACTATAAAAATTGTCTCCTTTCCATTACTGTCCAATAAACACACAAAAATATGCCCTTTCCTACTGATACCTATTTCCCAAAGGTTTTTTTTGTTTATTTTTTTTAAATATGCAAAGTAGAGTAAAGTTGTTCCCTCATCCGAAGTGGACATTGGGGATTGTCTTGTTAGTGAGACAACTTCCTGGGCCTTCGACATATTGTGGTAGGGTGGCCAGTTCCTTTCCACGCCGCTTTACTTCCCCAACTCAAAGTTAGGTACCCATTACTGCTGGGGGGGGGGGGGGGGGGGCAGGAAGGGACGAAAAAAATCTGTGTCGAACCGAGGCTTAAACTCGGACTTTCCGTTTCGGAGATGAGCGCACTAACTGCTCCGCCACCGCACTTAAAATATGTAGAAACAGAAAAACCAGTTCAGAGATTAATATGATAGAGAGAAAAAAGCCATGTAACTCTTTAGAAATCGAGTAACACTTCCACCTGGTATAAAACTTGATGTGTAAAAATGACAATATGATACCAACGGAAAGAGAAAGATCCAGCCACAGGAGAATGAACCAGACAAACCTTGAGGTCCCCTTCATAGTATGTTAGCATCTGCTCTGTAAGCTCAAACAGTCGATACTTGTAATTTTCTGTATGGAAATTTCTCCTTTTGATGATTGCATTCTTTAGGAGAACACCGGTCTTGATAGGAAAGCCATCACTCCCATTGCGCATTAACTTTGACCGCTCTTTCTCTGCCATCCTGCTTGGAAATAAACAATGGACACAGCATGAGAACATTTGTTCCTCTCTCGTAAAAACAAGTTTGTCTGTCATGAAAAAAAGTTTTAAAACGACACATCCACCAACCACATACACATGATATAAACAACAAAAGATATAAAATTGGTCCAACATCTAATTACAGTGGGTGTCGATTTCAACGAGGTCACATTCAACGAGAAGTCGGCTCCAACGAGGCCATTCTTAATCCCCGATTTTTCCTCTATATCTCTTTGTAAATGTACGTCAGCTCCAACGAGGTTGCAAACAGACCGAAGTTGCTTTCAACAAGGTCCTGATAACCAAATAAAAGCAATTAGCGGCCTCAAAAGCGAAGAATTTTTCTCCTTTCTCTCCTTCTCACGCGAAGCAGAAGGCCCATCCTCGATTCCTAACACATTCTATTGCTAGATCTAGAGTGCCTAAGGATATGGGCTCCAAAGTCAAGAGGACGGGCGAGGGTTAGCCTACGGTAGGAATGGGAGGAGGGTGTGTGGCGGTTGGGAAAGCGATGTGGGGTGTGTGAAACTGGATGAACTCAGGATGGTAGGTCTAGACCGAGACCTTCATTTTTTTTTCAATTTTCTTTTCTTCCCTGATCAGAAAATCCAAGCTCCCGTCTTTACTTTAAGAAGATGTAAGCCTAAATGTGAGAGGGTATGTTTCCACACGAGAAGTGTTACGTAAAAAAAAATTTAATCAGAAATGACGGTCAGAACGCAGCTGAAACATGCGCACACAGACGCTGTTTGAGATTTCGTCATCAGGGGGAACAACTGTTTTAATTACTGGTATTGGTACATCGTGTATTATAATAACTTGTCTCCTTTCTTTTCTTTAGCATTTGTCACGTTCAACGAGAGGTCGGATCCAACGAAGACAATAAGCCGGTCCCAGCAACCTCATTGAATGCGACATCCACTGTATAGTTTTGAAGAAAGCTATAACCAGATGAGCACATTAAATTATGACTACTGTTCCCAAAAACTTAGGCACTAATTAATTCTCAACTTTAAGAACAACTAAATTATTACTTTTGTTAATGATATTTGACATATATCAATATATAATTTAGGAGGTCTGCAACAAAAAGTCCTTAGTACAGTTAATGTTACTGTTTCACTACATACAGTTAATGTTGCTGTCTCACTAGAGTTAATGTTACTGTCTCACTAGAGTTAATGTTACTGTCCTAGACTTACAATAATTTATTTATAGAGGCACCAGCTAACCATGTCCAGATGCTGTTTTAGCCTCTTTGTCCTGTCTGTGGATTAATTAATTTTTCTTCTTCTCCAATTTGGTTCCACTTCTATACTATGCAGTTAATGTTACTGTCTCACTACAGTTGTGTTACTGTTTCACTACAGTTGTGTTACTGTTTCACTACAGTTAATGTTACAGTCTCACTACAGTTGTGTTACTGTTTCACTACAGTTAATGTTACAGTCTCACTACAGTTGTGTTACTGTTTCACTACAGTTGTGTTACTGTTTCACTACAGTTGTGTTACTGTTTCACTACAGTTAATGTTACTGTCTCACTACAGTTGTGTTACGGTTTCACTACAGTTAATGTTACTGTCTCACTACAGTTGTGTTACTGTTTCACTACAGTTGTGTTACAGTCTCACTACAGTTGTGTTACTGTTTCACTACAGTTAATGTTACTGTCTCACTACAGTTGTGTTGATGTTTCACTACAGTCAGAGATGCCAACCACAGAAAACCTAAATGAGTATTGGAAAATAAGAAAATGTGTATTTTCGGGGGAAAATGTGTATTCCCCACAACCGACCGACCAACTAGTAAAATGTTCAAAGTGTCACGCCATATTTCCTGAAAAAAAATTACTAGTTCACCAGCTCAAAAAAGGGAGCACACACATGTACAATGTACATGTATCCAGTCAAAGACATGTCAGTGTTCAGTGTCGTACTGGGGTCTTGTTTAACTTAAGTATTTCAGTCTATTATAATATTTTCGTCTCATTATTATATATAAAAAATTAATCCTGCTTTGAGCTTTCGGAATGGACTAGAATAAGAATTTCGACTATCAAGAACCAGTCTGGTGTCATGATTCATGTTGTGAACTGACAGACTAAAATTTTTGCTCAAACTCAGAGAAGAGCAATAACTTGAATGGCTCAAGTAGACCCATGCACTGTGAGAGTTGTAACAACTGTGAGAGGGCAAGATGCAGTGACACAGAAAATCTGCCAGTCTTGAACAAAAAGCTACAACATACACTGTAGGTATAATTTACTATCACCCATCCAATGAAACGCGAACACTTTAATAACACAGACTTGCCAAGTATGAAGGGTCCCGATTCCGCACACGGCCTGCACCAACGCGCGCTTTGCAGAGAGCTCTAATCAAAATACTGAAATTGCGTCCAAGTTTTTGTCCGCTGGTGTTGCCTTCACCCCCGTCCCCCAGTGCATCTTTAAAAAAAATTCAATAATGTATTCTGTAGTCCTATACTTCGCCACGCCGTTACTCCCACCAAAGACGGTCTTTGCTCACATGATGCCTGATTTTTATGATGCGAATGCGCCCAGGGTCACTGACTGGTCAAGATGGCGAGCCAGACAATCTAAAAATCGGACAGCGCTTGCATTTTCTTTTCTTTTTTTCCCACAAGTGACAGCACAGAGACGAGTCAGAGTAATGATTAAATTTTATTTGCACGGCGACACAGCGTTTATACTGCACAACCTGCATGTCACAAATGTTGCGTTATCAGACAACTGCTGGCAAACTTCTGGGTGGTAACGAAAGCGAAAGTAGATCTACATTTTCCTGATAGAGCCTCGGTGTCAACACTTCCGCCTGCCGCCATACCCGCCTGTCCGCGTGAAAGTGAAACGTACTCTCGGACGGGGAAAAGCTGAACCAATAAGATATCACAATCGCAACCGGCAAAATTGAACTTACTGACCTTATCAGACTTGGTTTTCAAATATTCCAGTTCCGCGATACTGAAACTATTTTGACAAAAGATGGAACTTGAGAATTTATTAGGATTACTCGCCCCAGCTGAATCTTGTATTGTTCGGATTCCAGGTGTATTTTTTCATGAAAAGTCGTATTCGCGTATTTTCTGCAAAAAAATTGAACTAAAATATGTAAAATCGTACTGGTTGGCATCTCTGTACAGTTAATGTTACTGTCTCACTAAAAAAATACAGTTAATGTTACTGTCTCACTGCAGTAATGTTACGGGACCATGATGAAACAGGAAATAAACTGAGATCATTATGATGCTTAAAACCACCTGGGGTAGTACTTTACGTTTTTTTATAGCACCAACATGAATGCCAAAGCGTGACTTACACCAGTATTATCATAATACAGACTCACACAATCAAATCCTTATACATTATAAACTGTAAAAGCCAGATGACTCACTTACCCTTTTAAACTTCAAGACGTCACTTTCTCCAGCAGCCAAGGGCCACAGTAGGAAGTCAGGATATCAATAGCAACTTACTACACACACAAGTCCAAAAAAGGAAGTTGCAGAACATCCAGGCTAGGTGTGGGCTTTTACAAAATTTCCTTGCAGCTGTGTAAAAGTAAAAGTGACAGTTATGAGTAAAGTTTAAAATCTAATTTATATAATGATATTGGGTACTCACTTCACTTTACTTGAAGTCTCTACGTATTCAAATATAGCCTAATAGTTATAATATAATATAGATTTATTCAATATTCTGCTATTAGAATTTAGTATTCTTAAATAATAGAAGTTCATCATATATCATATACTACACAAGCCGTTTAACGTAGAACGCCCATCTTCCTGATTAGCTGCTAATTTTAGTAATGTGATGTCATCACTTCCTCGGATACCCAGACTATTTTAAGAAGCATGGTACCACATGGACTGACGTGTTTTCGGTATGTTAATAACATTTCGGAATTCCTAGTACTTGGACATGATGGAAGATCGCTTAGATCTAGATCTAGATCGTTGATGCTCAGAACAGTAAGATTAAGAACGCTGATGCTTGAAATTGAAACACGGTAAACGCAAAGACAATAGATCTAGGCCCTAAACCGCACAAAAACTGCCGTAAAGATGCTGGAGGATTAGATGTACCCCCCCCCCCCTCCTGCATGCTTCATCACTAATTTATATAGGTCTACATTTTTTTTAAACTACAAAGCAAACAAATTATAATTTATGGGACAAACTGTTGGTCAGTCAGGAGGAAGAGGCAGATAGATATTAAAAAAAACAAAAACATTCCGGGACCGGGATTCGATCCCATGCTCATAAAATAATTGCATGAACTTCAAACGCAGGCACGCTGTCCATTCGGCCATCAGAAGTTTCAACAGCAAGAGGTAGATTAAGCTTGATATATATATATATATATATCATAGACACTTCTATCTCTGGTGCCATGCGGTTGGCTATATTTAGATGTAGTAACGTGATCAGAGGTCGAGAAGTATCCTGATGTTACGTCAAACAAGATGGCCGTCTCACCTAAAAATAGTTTGCGTCATTCTACGCTTAAAATTTAATCGCATCTACTACTGACTGAGAGCAGAGTTTTTGGGAGTTTAAAAAAAAAAAAGTCAAAGTCCTTATGCCCTATGGAGCACACATCCTGTTGGACAAGAACATAATTTTTTCCGGTCAAACTTTTCTCATCATGAATAGTCTATAATATAGATTATCTAGATATCTAGAATCTTAATCTAGAACTATAGATCTATCTCTAAACTGTAAAATTACCATGTAAAGAAAGAAATCAACAAGCAAGGCAGCAAGGCCGGTGCTTTTTCGGTAGTTCCCACCCCCCTTATTTAAGCCTGACCTACATCTAGATATCTAGATCTAGATCTAGATCTCTAGATCTAGATCTCTAGATCTATACGTTTGATTCGCGGTGAGCTAAGATATCAAACCTAACAACTGCAAAGCAAAATATTAAATTATGGTAAAATTCAGGGGGGCATGCCCCCCCTGAAACCCCCCTTCCTATTTTTATTAGGTCAGGGGGGCAAGCCCCCCTGAAACCCCCCTACTCTTGTGGCCCAAACCCGTTAACAAAATTGTGGGGTGGGAACTACCGAAAAAGCGCCGCAAGGCCAAGGTGCCTCAAGTTGGTCATCTCATCTCAGTCTCAAAGTAAGTCAAGGTTCTCAAAAGCTTTTATGAAATGAACAAGACTGTGAGAAAGAACATGCTGTACTAAAATAGAGAAACTGAGATTAAACCAATTACAATAGAACAGGGGACGGTAGTATCCATAGACCTAGATATCTAGATCTATAGATCTACCTTCCGTTTGACATGGATAGTTTGTTGCTAGCAGAACGACACAGAGAGAATGGTATCAGAATCTTACTTTTTATCTAATCATCTTGTTTTGTGTGCCCTAAACGTGAAAGACGATCATTCCTAATTCATGATCAGGAAATAAAAACAAGACTGAAAACAAATTGATTTAGAATCTACTTCCGTGATATCCAATCGTTCATAAAAACAACTTGGTGAGTTTTGAGGTTTGTTTATACTTCATTGAACAAAAACATGTTCGTGTACAAAATAAACCAGGAAGAAGTAGAGGGTAATTTTAAAAACCTGGACCGAGCTGACATGACAAAGGCACATTTCGTTTCGTCTGATCCTTTTCATTTTGCAGAGATTGAGTCGGAAATTTACTTCCGACCATAGACTTGTTTTATATTAATATCTAGATTATAAACTCTGACGTATTTCTGGTTCACCACAGGATGCACTTAAAGCCAAAAGAAGGGCATAAAATTTTAAAAAATAATTTAACTTTATTTTATTTTATTGGTTAATTGGTTGGTTTTTTTTTTTATTAATTTATTTTTCTTTCTTTCTTTTATATATATATTTTTTGGGGGTTTTTTTTTGTTTTTTGGGGGGGGGGGGGATGTTTGGTGCACTTTGGCTGTAATGAGACCAGGGTTATAACGGTGCAGAATAAAGAATATCAACAGTTGATATAAAAGATGGCTTACTTTCCAAGAAACAAAATACTTTTGGCCTTCATTTGGATGTAAGAAGTAAGAATGTGGCCCACTGTGCGCACAATGACATGTCGCAGATTTGTTTATAGATCAAGAGCAAAGAGCGGTGGCCATGATTGTAAACTATTTAGGAGCACATCGATAAATCTATGCTTCCGACGCGGAAGTACACAGACTGTCTCTAATGAGAAATTGGTACGGCAACGGGAATTCAAATTTCAAAGAAAGGAAAATTAATATATAGAACTAAAAGCGGACCTTATTATGAACTAAATCTATCAACATTGTAGAGATTAATCCTGGTGCAAATTTAGCATCTAAACGAAAGACTTATACTTGACTGATTGAAATATAATAAGGCCGGCACTATTTCTCCGAACGTTCGGGAAAATAAAGCTAGGCACTATTTCTCCGAACGTTCGGGAAAATAAAGCTAGGCACTATTTCTCCGAACGTTCGGGAAAATAAAGCTGGGCACTATTTCTCCGAACACTCTGAAATCACATCCTTTCCCGCAAATTTCGGATATTATATAGATCTATAATTATAGTATAGGCCTACCAAAGATTGTTCGTATACAATATGGTTCAAGCGGTCCAAAAAATGTCCGCAGTAAATATTTATATAAAGAATGCTACAATTCCAAACAGTTTTTCGCTACAGATATGACGAGTTGCCTATGAAGGGTGCTGCTCTTAAACGTAATGTGTTGTGTTCACTCGTGTGCTGTCTAGATCTAGATCTAGATCTACGGAGGGTTATTGATAACGACACATAGAACTATTAGAACTGGCATCTGCGGTGGTCACTGCCACGACCAATAATGTACCGACACTGGCAGGCCCCTTAAGGTGTGTGATTCCATAATTTACATGTAATATCCTCTCCTTTAAAAAAAAAAATTACTCACATTTAGGGTTAAAACAGCCAATCTTCTTCGGACAGGTGGACACACGCCCTTATTTGTTAATGTTTGTTGTTTATCATGGGCTGTTCTAATTTTGATTTCATTCTGTTGTGAAACATTTCTTTTTCACGTTTTTACACTCATCTAAAAATCTCTAGACTAGCTCTTGAAAATTGAAATAAATATAGACCCAAAAATTTGCTCCTGTGTGTGTGTGTGTGTGTGTGTGTGTGTGTGTGTGTGTGTGTGTGTGTGTATGTATGTGCGTGTGTGAGTGTGTCTGTGTGTGATAGTAAGTGTGTAAGTGGAGAGTGAGTGTGTGTGTGTTTGTTTTTCGGGCTTTATTTCAGCCTTCATTCAGTAACAGTTCAAAGTATACACAAATAGAAACACAGGATCCATTCACTCTAGGGCTCACGAGTCGTTCATCTTTTTCAGTTTCACTCATTCATTCAATTCCCGTGTTCTCTCCCGCGGCTCATCCCCGTCCGCATGGCTTTCACACCCCACCCCCTCCCTCCAGGCATACACAAAGAAAATCTCACTCATTCCCTTGCACCCTGCGAACCATGGACAATAATATAGGCAAAACACTGCCTAAGCTGCATTATTTTCGTTCGTGAGCTGTGGACCAGGCCAGGGGGGGTCGGTGTCGTCGTCTTGTAGTTGCTGTCGGGTGTGGATACACTTGCACATTCTTCCTTTAACCCGCTCTTTCACTCACACTGTCTCTCCATCCACAGCTCAGCTCGTCATACGTTCAAAAGTTGTCCATTGGTCGTGTTTGTTTAGTTAGTGTGTGTATAAGTTTGTGTGTGTACATGTGCATGATGGTGGTGGGTGTGTGGTGGGTTTTACTGAAGGTTGTCTGTAGGCGGGCTTTCCATGCGGTGTTCCTTCCCCCAGACCAGATGCAGAATGAAAGTTGGCGCCGAACTCTCGCAATAAATAGGCAAAACATCACGAGACCGGAAGCCGGAAACCGTTCGGAGAAATAAAGATGGGCACTATTTCTCCGAACGTTCGGAGAAATAGTCACTTCGATATAATAATGTGATCCACTTTCGTCTTCTCCTCGCGGGTTGGTGCGGTATTAGCGATGTGGACCGGTGGCCTGTTTATTTAATTGGGTGTCTAGGGAGTTAATTAAGTCTGTGGACCCGGTCACGGGGAGACAAAGCGACTTCTTCGGTGCTTGTGGCCTATTGTTAGGGTGTGGACTTTCAAGGGGAGCAAGTAAGCTCACACGAGGGACATTTCGAGACACAATATCAAATTTCGAAATCTTGTAATTTAAATTGTGACGGATATAAGTCGAAATGTATGTAAAGCAAGAATAAATAAGAGAAGTGCTATACAATACCCGAGCACTCTAGACGGCAGTGAAAGTAAAATACCGGTGTCACCAAAGGAATGTAACAGACAAATTGAAAAGGCAAAAGGAGAAAGAATGGGTTTTTTAAATTGTAAAAACCTGTAACGCGGTGGGTTTTTTTTTTTAAACAACGGCTAACCCGTTAACCCTTGGGGCCTCTATAAATAGATCTATGTTGGGTTTTTTAGAATAAGGAGTGGAGAATTTCTCGCTTTGGCACGCACGGTCAAACAGGCCTACCGGATGCCCACATTACGGATCAGATCGGGGCGTGTCGGGTCGATTAATAACGGTTTCAGTGCACACTGCACATGTTGACCTTTCCCTTGTTTGCGCCAGGTTTGACATTTGACCGTTGTACGGTAAATTGAGCACCAAACTTACCATTCACTACTACACTGCCATTTCCATCCACGATGGCTTCGAGTGCTGGCTGCTGCATATCACATTTTGTTGTGTTAAGAGGTTCTTGAATCCTGCAGACATGATAGATGTCGATTGTTTTCCAAATATGTCAGAATCAACTTCCCCAAACATACAGTGTCCATAACCGCTTTGCTCGCGCACTTTTACAAAATGCCTGATCGTTCGGCTCGCTACCATGCAAAATGAACGCACGATTTGTTTTAAAAGGTCACGTTCCAGTTCAGTCGAACTGTGCTACTATGGAAGTTTTTATCTCTCAATGGAAGAAAATCTGGTCGGTCCCGACTCAATTCGACCTGATTCGATTCGATAAGCAGTGTGCACTGGCTATAACTGAATGTAACGTGCGTGGGTTTGGAATGGAATGCACGTGAGCAATGTTGGCAAACGTCCTCGTGTTTGCGTAATTAGTGCGTGAGTTCATCTTCTGTAGGGAAGGATGAAGAAAAATCAATTATTTCGGTTTTAGTTTAATTAAAGTTTTAGCGCGTTCACAACTGCATAAGGTCATTTATGACATGAGCGCGCGAAAGCAAATTTATAAAATGTATAAAATATAATATAGTGTAAAGCGCATATAGCCTGCTGTTGAGCGGGGATATGCGCTATACAAATGCTATTTATTATTATTATTATTAAAACCCCTCGGTAAATCATAGCTTCCAGTCTCTCTCTCTCTCTCTCTCTCTCTCTCTCTCTCTCTCTCTCTCTCTCTCTCTCTCTCTCTCTCTCTCTCTCTCTCTCTCTCTTTCTCTCTCTTTCTCTCTCTCTCTCTGTGTGTGTGTGTGTGTGTGTGTGTGTGTGTGTGTGTGTGTGTGTGTGTGTGTGTGTGTGTGTGTGTGTGTGTGTGGATGTTTTTTAAATACCTATGGACAGGACATTCCTCTTCGTCCCATACATTTAACTCTCATGAGGCAATCAATCGGGGACAAAATTAATTCACAACCGGATGCCGGGAAAGGGAAAAGAACCGGGGAGGTCACGTAAAAAAAAAAAAAAAGAAGAAAAGACTTAGGTCAATAATAATCCAATGCCGGTTGACCTTTTAATTGCCAGGCCAGCATTAATTGCTACATGTACCGTACATGGATTGGGTCAAAAAAGTATGACATTATATATCAAACCTGCCACTACTCAGGTGACCCCCACCGCCCACCAGAGTTATAACGCCTATCAGTGGTCGACCGATATTGCCCAGTCTGGCGAGCACTGGCTTACTAAGCTTTTACAAGAGCGGCGGTTTCCCCCCATTGTATCTTTTCCATAATTACCCCCCTTCACACTCCCAATATCACCTTCACAATCCCCTCTGGAGGGGACTCTTTTTCAAAAAAAAATAAAAAAAAAGATTTCAAAATTTTCTTTAAAACCCCCCCCCCCCCCCCCCCCCCCCCCCGTTATACCGCAAGCCTCGCTTTGCCAATGTACGAAATGGAGCGCCTATATACAAAGTATTTTGCTCCTTCACACCACCATCCGTCATTACTGTCTGAGATGTGCAGTCCTTATATAGTCATATAAATTCGCTCCGCCATACTGCCAGCGCCAACGAGGAAGTATTAATATAAGGAGAACAAGACAGAGCCCAGTCAGAGATGAGGTGGGAAGAGGCGGTGGCAATGGGTTGGACTTACTCTCAGGAAGTCAAGCAGCTGCCTAATAAGGAAAGTGTTGGATTGAAACCCACAGGGTAAACGATCAAGGGGAAGACCACGTAGAATCCGGAGAAAAATAACAGAAATCGATGCACAGAAAAGTGGAAAGACATGGGATAACAACATCAAGCGGCTAGCCCAGAGAGAGAGAGAGAGAGAGAGAGAGAGAGAGAGAGAGAGAGAGAGAGAGAGAGAGAGAGAGAGAGAGAGAGAGAGAGAGAGAGAGAGCGAGAGAGAGAGAGAGGGAGAGAGAGGGAGGGAGAGAGAGAGAGAGAGAGAGAGAGAGAGAGAGAGAGAGAGAGAGAGAGAGAGAGAGAGAGAGAGAGAGAGAGAGAGAGAGAGAGAGAGAGAGAGAGAGAGAGAGAGAGAGAGAAGACTCTCGGCTCAGAATACGTTTGCTTATACATGTATATCACTGACAAAAAGACACCCTTCAAACACAGATCGCACAGCAGAATCATGCTCCTTGATGTTGGGCAGAAGGGGCTATACAACAGAGGAACCCCGTTCAACCGCTAGCCCTTCTGTTCCGCCAGCTTCATGCATGCTCGTCCCAAGGGTGGTGGAGTAATGAGGTTTGACTGTACATGTATATATTATGTCTTGGTGGACACACGGACGGGGCAGGAGTATAAAAATAATAATAAGTCCTCGTACGTTAATAAGTGTCGCGACTTTTTACGTACAAAATTAAAGGGGCCGTTGTTGGTCATCATCCCCACGACTAAAGATAGCTAGATTTACTAGTTTACTTGACCTGGATCAGGTTAGGAGCAGAAGTCCCACTAACTACAACAGCCCGCGGGCTATATTACCTGGCCCAGAGGGTCATTTCGTCAATGAGAGAAAATGAACTTGGGAGATGAGTTTGTAGCAGCGTGCTTAGGACTTGCGGTCACCGGAATAATTTAACCATTTAATTTCATCGATCTGTACGTACGGTGCACATTAAACGAACGTGCTTGCTTTTATGGACTTCATAGCATCCTGAAAACTAATCGCCAGTCCGTGAAATTTTCATCGCAGGCGAAGCAGACCGTCTGTCCAGGCGGATGAAAAACATTTGAAAACAGAACAAAACAACCCCCCCGCCCCCAACCCCACCCACCAAAATAACAAAATGAAGAACCCCCCCCCCCAAAAAAAAAAAAACCGCTCTGTCTGAATTTTTATTTTATTTGTAGATCTAGTACCGGTATTTTTTTCTTCTTTTTTAAAACCAATCGGCAGGCTGGAAGCTGAGCTGAAGCCCTCGCCATGTCGATAAAAATTCCGTTTAAATCTATATAAATTTATTGAAAACTAGCCTAGTCTACGTCGTATTGTAAAAATAAACTAATAGTATTTAAGATTTTCAAAATGACCCACGAGTGACTCTTCTTCTTCCTTCCTCCTTTTCTTCCTTCCTTTCCCCTCCTCCTCCTCCTCCTCCTCCTCCTCCTCCTCCTCCTCCTCCTCTTCCTCTTCTTCTTCTTCTTCTTCTTCTTCTTCTTCTTCTTCTTCTTCTTCTTCTTCTTCTTCTTCTTCTTCTTCTTCTTCTTCTTCTTCTTCTTCTTCTTCTTCTTCTTCTTCTTCTTCTTCTTCTTCTTCTTCTTCTTCTCGGTGCGGATTCCGTGTCGCAACAAAGCCGTTTTTAATGTACGTAAGGCATACCATAAACTAAGTACTATGAAGTATTTTCTTTGATATAGTGTAACGATACATAGATATAATATAAAGGGCCAACTGATATCATAGTGATTATATCACTAGGTCGCTCTTCCGCCGTACTTCGCTTTATTTTTTAACCACCGATTTGTTCCTGGCTTTTACAGAGATAATATCTTATCAGTGTGTTAAATTTGATGCACGTGAGCGCGTTGAGTTCACAGCATAATATATAGCTACAAGTACTTCTTTCACACACGCGTGTGTGTATACTACAGCGTAGAACTATTACACAAGTGGAAATACGCTTTATACACTTAATCTGTAATTATTATTATTATAAATAATAATAATAATTATTATTAATATTATTATTATTATTATTATAATAACTACTTCAAAACCGGATCAACAACAGCAGCAGCCACAACAACCCAGCGAGTCCCCTGACGCTGTCTGCAAATGTGTACCGAGTAGGCCGACTTTGTAGTTACAGTTACATTGCCGAATCATGCATTCCATCCTCTGGGTCTGATATACCACATATGAGCCAATTATTCTTAGGGACCATCATCAAGACTACCCGAGTATGCATGCGCAGACTATTGTCTTTGATCCTAATTAATGTTTGACTGATTTGCGTGACTACGTATAGATGACATAAGCAGTTTAAGAGTACAACGCCTTGATAAAAATTGTAGACTATACCAGTACTGTATATATATATATATATATATATGCTATACATGCTTAGGAAAATTTAATTAAAAAGGTATTCAATAATCAGTATTCAGTATGGTATTTTTTGGGTACCAGTTCTGGTGTAAGCCTGAAGCCCCTGATGAAAGCTTCATTTCAACATGACAAAGATAATGGCTACCCTACACTTTCTCCCCATTTTGTCTAGTTACAATTTTCCTTAAGTCTTTGCACACATTGCAAGCTTCATTTATATATCGAAATTCGAGCATACATGTTCCGATTTCATTTCCACGTAGGCCTGAGCAAACCTTGTCTCGCTCGACTGAAAGTTTTCGTGCCCCGCCTACTTCGATCGGAAGTGAACATTTTACTGAAATTGAAAGTCTTTTGTGAAAAGTAGACAGAAATGTCTCATGACTAAAGTCACATGATTCATGACGTCATTATCAATCATGGTGTCTCATTACTACTGATCACAAGATCAGAGGCAAGCAGATCAGAGGCAAGCCATGACATCTTAATAATTTTTGTTTGTGTCTGATGCTGACTATCTTCAAAATATTGTGAAAAGGTTTGGATTTAAGTAGATCTATATTTTGTCTTTGAAATACGGAAGAGCGTTGGTCTCTCGAAGGTTGCTGCGTGAGTCAAGACCAAGTCAAGGCGTTCCCCTCTCGTGCCGTCATAATGTTTTTTTTTTGCTTATCAGGACCTAAACTTTAAATTTAAATGAAAGTAAGTCACTAGATCTAGGTTAGAGTTAATAGATTGTACTCATAATTTGTCTGTCAACGTTAAGAGATTATAGTTAATATATTTGTCAATATAGACTTCGATCTCTAGAATTTGTAGCAGTATCAGTAGACTAGCAGACTAGCTACACTCTACCGTAAATTTGTACACACACTCTTACTACAATTCTACTCTTAGTATTAGATCTAGAGATTCCAGAAGAATAATTGAAAAAATGTTGATTCAGTTCCGTAATACTAACACGGGGTGCCCATTGGGAGGTCGGACCGGTTTACTACTAAAATCTAATCTAGATCTAGATCTAGAGATCTAGATCTAGATCTAGCTAGCCAGATTGGTGAGGTTGAATTCGAGGGTGCAAAGCGGCTATCATGGCACAAGCCACAAG